AATCGGGGTGAAGAAATAACAGTTGACTCTTTTTATGAACATTTTAAAAATCTTTCTACAAATTAGGATAAACGTGAAACTAATAATGATTGCGATGACTTTGTAAAAGCTTTCTTAGAATCAGAAGGCAACAATGCTACATTTGAAGAACTTGATAAACCGATATCTGTGGAAGAGATTGTTCTAGCATCAAAAAAAAAAGGTAGTAATAAAGCTTGTTCTGCTGATAACATCTTATACGAGTACTTAACATCATGTATAAATGATATTGTGAATCCTTTACAATATTTGCTTTTTTGATTATATTCTTGATAGTAATTCTTTCCCAAAATGTTGGTCATCCGGTATTATTATTCCTTTACATAAAAAGGGTGATTCAACAGACCCGAGTAATTATAGGGGAATTACGATAACAAGTTGTTTTGCTAAGTTTTTCACAGTGATTATAAATAACAGGCTGAAAAAATGGTCTGTAGAAAATGACAAAATTACGGATGCCCAGTTTGGGTTTAAAGCAGATTTATAGCACTGTAGATGCTATTTTTTATATTACATTCTTTTGATTGAAAAGGTTATAAATGATAAGAAGAAACTATTTTGCTGTTTTATTGACTTTAAAAAAGCATACGATCTAATAGACAGGAACTGCCTATGGTAGAAAATTGATAAAATGTGGTTATTGATGGCAAATTGTTTTCTGTAATATATTCAATGTATGAAGATGTTAAATTGTGTGTAAAACATGTAAATACGTTGTCTGAATTTTTCAGTAGTGAAAATGGGTCTCTTTCAATGTGAGATAACTTCACCAATAATGTTCAGTCTGTTTTTGAATGATTCAGAAAATGTATTACGAGAAAATTTAGATGATGGTTATAACATTAGATCAAATATCGATTTATTTGCTATTATTTGCAGATGACGCCCGTTATCTGTTCTGAATCTGCTCAAGGTTTACAAAAACTCCTTAAATAGTTTAGAAAAATATTGTAACAACTGGCATCTTACTGTTAACGTAGATAAGGGACTAAGATTGTTGTTTTTAGAAAGGGCGGAGTTTTAAATAAAAGTTATTTAAGTGGATATATGGGGGGTTTAAATATAGAAATTGTAAAAACATTTAATTACCTAGGTATTGTTTTGTCTAGCGGAAGTTCGTTCATACCAGCGACCAACACACTAAAAGGAAAAGCACTACGGGCTATGAGCTCATTATTTAATGTAACAAGAGATAAGCAAGTTCCCATTGATATTATGTTCAACCTGTTTGATGCATATGTTCTACCAATTCTAAATTATAGTTGCGAGGTATGGGGTAGCCTACCATCGGAAAATTTGGAAATTGTACATAGGAAATTCTGTAAATGGTTGCTTAATGTGAAAATGTCAACAAGTACTCTTTCACTGTTTGCAGAAGTAGGCCGATTTCCGTTATATATTTCACGTCATGTAAGAATTGTTAAATATTTTATAAAAATATACCAAAATAAAACAAGCAACTGTATATTAAATTATATTGTTAATTGTCAGAGATTGGAGATAGAGTCAAAGTCTAATACTGTAAATTGGTTGTCTAAAGTCAAAACACTTTTGCAAAGTGCTGGATTTAATGATGTGTGGATGTATCCAGAATCAGTTAAGCTAAATATATTAATACCAGTCCTACATGGTCGTTTAAAAGATATTTATATTACAAATTGGCATTCTAGTGTTCATATGTGTTCTTCTTTGTATTTGTATAAACATATCAAAACCGATTTTAGCAGGTCTAAATACCTGGATATTGTTGACTCTATGAAATTAAAAAATATATTAGCTAAACTTAGATTATCATCTCACAATTTATTAATAGAAACATGTAGACACAATAATATTGATAGAAATGACCGGAAATATACTATTTGCAACAATAATGACATCGAAGATGAATATCACTTTGTATTGATTTGTACTTTGTATGATTCTCTTAGGAAACAGTATATATCCAACTATTTTACAAGAAACCCTAGCATGTTTAAATTTTTAGAATTGCTGAATTCAGAAAGGAAGTCAGTATTAACAAAATTTGCTATATATTGTAACAAAGCTTTTAAATTAAGATTTGATTCATTGAATGCCGGATAATGCTATATAAGACCACCTTGTTGTATTGTTTAAAGTTGTATTAGGATTGTAAATATTACATGTGTTGTATTACACTCTCACCAGTTTATTTCATTTATTGATATGTGTTTACCATTTTTCATATTCATGCATGTATATATTTGTTGTATATGAAGATGAGCTGTATATGCTTAATTCAAAATAAAATATATGTTATGTTCTGTTCTGTTTTGTTCTGTTAATCATAATTGCTAATTTAAGTTTTGAAAATATGGCGTAATTTGCAACATTCTGAGATGTGCAGATATTTAACTATACATGATTGGTCGCACAGTAATCAGCTCAGGAAAGAACTAAATCACGTGACGTCAATGGTGAATGATATATAGAGCAGACACGATGTTCAGGAAGTAATTCTACGGAACGTGTCCGGGAATAAAGGAACAAAATCTAATAGCAACATAGAACTATCCTGTTGTTGTTTTTTTTCTCTCCAGATTTATCAGGGTAGAAAAAACAACATCATAAACCATATGGAGGAAGTAAATGTGCATGTGTTGAACGTTAATAACATAGTAAACACATTTGTTTGGTTGTTTTCTGTCAGTCACACTGACACATTGTAAAGGTCATTTGACGAGTCTGAACATAAATAATTGCGAACGTTTGACAATTTTCTAGTGTGCTTCTTTACTAAACAGTGGGCTTTCTGGTTGTTTTCTGTGAATATTAAATAGTGTCACTGATATATGAGAAGATTGTGCGCGGCTCAAAATAATAATAATAATAACAATAAATTAAAAAAGTACAATTGGTACTCTTTGATTCTTTCCGTCAAACGTCGGATAATGATTATGAATAATTGCCGAGGTGTTCCTTTCCGATCGATGAAAATGTGAAGATTTTATTATAACCTTCTTTTATTTAATTGAAATGTAAATTCGATAACATCTTTATAAATTAAGCTTTTTGGAACTTACAATATTGATAAATCTTCATTTTAGAATCAAATTTATGATAAAAAAAACTATAAAAAATTAAGTTACAGGATCTTTAAGGCAAAATTAAAAGAAACAAAAACGACATCATCTTACACAATTTTCCGTCATACATGCTAGTTATATATTAATATACCCTACATTTAATCGTCTTTTAATATTCTATAAATGAGATTTGTGGTCCGTATTTTTGTAACTTACGTACATGTATATTGAATTTAGAATATGAATTTAAATTGTTTTTATTTAGTCCGTGTTGATGAAGTCTCTTAATTTTCAATAGAGTCAAATAAAAATAATCAGTGTTGTGTATATATTTGCAATAGTAGCAATACGAGGTTATTATTCATTGTCCAGTACAATACGGATTTCTCTTAGAACAGTACACAGCTGTCAAACCTATATTGGACAAGGTGCCATTTGAACAGAGCCAATTTCTGATTTCAAATATTCAAGCTAATGTTCTTATAAAGTACATCATGAATTATACTAATTTGTTCTTTTAAAATATATACACTTTTGGAAAACCACATGCCGGGACCTCATATTACCTGATGGCATAAAGGTTCAGCCCATTTACAGGTTTATAATCTTTCAAAATAAATGTTTTTATCTTTGTTTTAATAGTTATTTCAAAAGAATTGCAAATTATAGTTTAAATCCAAATAAGTAAAAAATTAACAAAAGAGCATCACGCGAAGTCGAACTATTTTATCTGTTCTTTGAAGAAAATCGATGAAAAGAAATCGTACAGATGATTTTATATTTGTTTATATCTTCGCTAGAACAATCATTTATTTACAATTCTCACAGGAAGTGTAATCTCATTCTCTAACATATACACTCCAGTAACATAATTAAATATGTTTAGTGATATATTAAGCTTGACATGTTAAAACAAATCTGTCCAACAGTAACATAATCCTAGTTTTATACAACTTTTTATTGAAGAGTACGGAACTTTACCGCTCACACCCAATCCAGGGATCGTGGGCACAAACCCGGTCTGGAATGACGTCTTTGCTTTTACTTCAGACCAAAAATTAAAAAAAAAACAGACTTTATCTTCGTTTGGATGTTAAATATATACATTAAATAATTTTACATTATTGAAGCTTACCTCTCTGTTTCTGTTTACATCTGAAATCACGTGGTAGAACTACTTTCAATTCGTATTAACTCAAAGGTCATTATAGACAATAGCCGAGAACGTTCCGATTGCCATGTTTGATATATTTTTGTAATTGCCTGCATAAGAGTCATTTCTGAGTACTTTAAAGATCTTTTTCGTGTATCTTTGAAGGACTTCATCTCTGGGTGAAATATTTCAGGAAGTACTATACACCAGAATATACCCCAGATGTTATTTGAACTATTTTATAGTAATTACTCAAATTAAAATATGCAGAAAAAGTCCAAGGCCTAATGTTTTTTTGTTTTTTTTTGCGATAAAATTACCTAAATAGTATTAATGTTTAAAGTTGTTGCCATCAAATTCATGTACCGGATATGCTGTGTCCAGAATTAAGACTTAGATGTGATTGATTTACAATAGAATAAATAGGGCGAAAATACTGGGGACCGTCTTCAAATATGAGGGCAATAAATCACTGGGATTTTTCTACAAATCGCTATTACTACACTGTTTCTTATCATGGAACATCTTTTGCTTGTAAACACCACAATGTCATCTTATAAATCATATCAATAGCATTAAAAGTGAAATTAAGATAAATGTTTCCTCTCATCGAAAAGAATATCACTAGTATGTATATATACAAACATCGGTAATGCAACAGAAAATCATGAAACTAACACAATTTTATATGTTTTATTATTATTATTATCATTATTATTATTATTATCATTATTGAAAATGTTCACTTAAAAAAACAGTTGTTTTAAAAACTAAATTAAATGTAACTTAGATTTTGTTAACAAATGTCTACACTTACAAATAGAAGACTTATACATTAATTAACAAAACTACTCGCGAGCTAACCAGTACTGGTGTCATAAGAGAAAATATGGTTTTTACCTAGTCGACAAGAACAAAACTGTATACAATTCATTACAATGAAATTTAAAATACTATATTTAATGTCGTCATAGATGAACTATTGTTCCACTGAACGAATTCCACCAGAATGCACTATCATATAGGGAAGTAGCAGAATGAAGTAGTGTCGTCCACACCCTAGCACCTGCATTCAAAACCGCAATAGCATTCATTGAATAACACTGTGTTGAAGTATCTGACCAAAATATTCTTTTCAACACTTCGCCGTTTGAAACTAATTCAACATGTAAAGCATGGTTCCCGTTTACACAGAATTGGGCTGTGAAAAAATAGGTGCCAGAAGTCGGTACGGTGAATATACCTTCATTGTTGTCGTAGCCGTTTCCATAATTAAACAAGACTGTTTTGAATATAAACTTCTGTCCTACAAGTGGGGACAAGCTTAATGAGTCTTTTGCTGAGAACGCTATCGTTGGAATTGTTACCGTTTCTGAAAAACGATGTTCCCATAATAATTTAATAAAATATTGAAAATTTGATGATGAAATTGGATGAGTGAATAACCAAGTGACTTGTGTTTAAAGATAATACTTCGCTTACTTTATTTGTATATATACTATAGCATACTTGTTAGACTTCTATTATTATACAGCATGCAGCGTTTAAACATTTAAACATTCTAATTATTTTCCCATTTAATCTAGCAATATGTTTCATTATTGGGCACTAAAATACCAACGTACCTGTCAGTGTTTGGTGTTGTTTTATTTCTGTCAATTGATTCTGTAAGCTGATAATTTCGTTCTTCATCTGATGAACATCTTTATTATAATCCAGTAAATTTTCTAAAATAACTTCCTCGTAACCACACTTTGTTCCTAAAAGAAGGAAAAAAGTGAAAGAGTACATACTTTGATGAAACATTCTGTGAAGTGTAAGCTTCATTTAATTCAGTTAAAATAGAAAAAATGATTCTAAACATGGCACATTTTGTTTGTGAAACACATCTTAATAAAGAGAATTTTAGGTCAGACTAACATATTATAACATGGCCGGCGATTGACTGAAAAAATGCAAGGAAAACCATAAGATTTGCATTTTTAAAAAGTGTATGTCAGTCCTGTGATCAGCAGAAAATATCAATGAAAATGGGGTAAGTCATTTTGCATAGCTATCCCAATGAGACAAGATCATATCTATGTGTCAGGCATTTCATTCTTTTAGAACAATCACCTCTTTAGCACGAAATCTCAATTTTATGGTTGAATTGGGGACCAATTCTCATAATATTAGGCTATGGGAAAACCAATACGAATGTCTGACCATGCAATCAAGCTCTATACAATATTAGTAACAAGCGAGGTAACTCGTACTATCCCAACTGTACTAATAAGATTTAATAACTTTACAAAATTAACTTAATAATTAAAACATAGTTTTAAACGCTTACCTGATAAATCTTTTTTATCACCATCATTTTTATAAAATATATAATTGTTAAGGAAACACATGCAAATCAATGAGAAAATAACCACAAATAAGTGTAGAAAAATAGCATGCATGTTTGATCTAGATCTAAGCTATAAAATTTCTGAAGTGTATCGGGTAGGTTGTAAGTTCCTATTTTTAGCTGTAGCATAAATCGACGATATATATTGATTTAAGAAAATTTAAGCGGCACGGTATGGAGGCTATTCATTGCCAAACATCCAGCCTTTGAAACTTGACGATGCATACTTCGGTTCTTCTAAACAGATTAGTAAAAACCTAATTGGCGATCTGAGAGTTACATACTGCACTGGTATTAAGCATTTTGATTATCTCGATTTGATAAAGTGGAAGCTGTAAACATGCAACTTAGATAATTTGCAAACTGTATTTAGAAATGTATGGAAAGCCTTGACTGTCTTATAATTATAAACCTGAACATTGTTATGTCCAAATAGCAATATATTGAGTCAACCTTTCCTTATACAAGGTGCACTCATCAATATATTATGTGGATCCATCTTTATATGTAGTCAACTGAACAATATATGATGTCAATGTGTCTTTATATGATGTCAATATATCATTTTACGATGTGCATTTTTGAATATATTATGTGGAACCATCCTTATATAAGGTCAAAATAACAATATATTATGTCAGTCTGTCTTTATATGATGTCAGTCTGTCATTATATGATGTGAAGTTATGAATATATTATGTGGAATAATAATTATATAGAGTCAACATTATATGATGTCAATGTCTCCTTATATTATATCAATCTATCAATATGCATTGTGCATTTTTCAGTATTTTATGTACAATCGTCTTTATATAGAGTCAACTTAACATTATATGATGACAACACGTCCTTATATGATGTCAATCTTTCATTATACGATGTGCATTAATGAATATATTATGTGAAACTATCTTTATATACAGTCAACTTAACATTATATGATGTGTATGTGTCCTTTTATGATGTCAGTCTTTCATTATTTGATGTGCAATTACGAATATATTATGTGGAACCATTCTTATATAGAGTCAAAACAACATTATATTATGTAGAACCGTCTTTATATAGAGTCAACTTTACAATATATGATGTCAACACGTCCTTATATGATGTCAATCTTTCATAAAACGATGTGCATTTTTCAATATATTATGTGAAACCATCCTTATATAGATTCAACTTAACAATATATGATGTGAATATGTCCTTATATGATGTCAGTCTTTCATTATATGATGTGCAATTACGAATATATTATGTGGAACTATTCTTATATAGAGTCAAAACAACATTATATTATGTAGAACCGTCTTTATATTGAGTCAACTTTACAATATATGATGTCAACACGTCCTTATATGATGCCAATCTTTCATTATATGATGTGCAATTATGAATATATTATGTGAAACCATCTTTATATAGAGTCAACTTAACATTATATGATGTCAACACGTACTTATATGATGTCAGTCTTTCATTATATGATGTGCAGTTACGAATATATTATGTGGAACCATTCTTATGTAGAGTCAAAACAAAACTATAGTAGGTAGAATTGTCTTAATATAGAGTCAGCTTAACACTATATGATGTAATTAACTTTGAGTTTTCCCGCTGTTGCCACGAACGGTGCATAGTGAGATATAACCAGGTAAATTTAACCCCATCATTATAGTGACAGAAGCACACTATATTATGATGTTTGCACTTCTTATAAAGCAGCGGTCGTATAACAATATATGCACATCGTATAATGAAAGATTAACATAATATATTTATAAGTTGACTGTATATAATGATTCTACCACATAATATATTCATAAATGCACATCGTATAATAATATATGCACATCGTATAATGAAAGATTGACATAATATATTGATAAGTGGACTGTATATAATGATTCTACCACATCATATATTCATAAATACACATCGTATAATAATATATGCACATCGTATAATGAAAGATTGACATAATATATTGATAAGTGGACTGTATATAATGATTCTACCACATCATATATTCATAAATACACATCGTATAATGATTGGTCGACATCATATAAAGACACATTGACATCCTATATTATTCAGTTGAATTCATATAAGGATGCATCTACATAATATATTCATGAGTGCACATAGTATAAAGAAAGAATGACACAACAACGTTCATTTTTACAATCATAAGACAGTCAAGGCTTTCCATAGAAGTGTATAACTTCATATTTGAGACATGTAGAAATGTAACCGATAGAACATACACAACACGTTCAATGCTTTGCATCGTGACGTTGAGAATGTAACTGCATAAGTTGACACTCTCAGGTTGACTACACCACACTTTCCTTTTACATTCTAACGCGATTAACATTTGTAAACGATTTTGCAACTTCCATATATATGGAATTATCACGGAAATAGACGAAAATTAAGAGGCGGACCCAATTTTCACGAAAGCAGAATATAAAGAGAAGTAACTCTTGCTGGTACAAAAATATTTCAAATTATATAAAATTGTTATAAATTTCACATACATCAACTGCATTACAGTTGACTTTTAATATCCTCTGATTTTGTTAAAACGTATTATAAGATAACTTTGAAAATGTTTCAAACTCTCGGGGATAGCTACTATAATCGAAGCCCAGCCTTAGTCTGCATTTTCTGCAAATGACAACGGCTAGGGATGTGTTATTCGACTGCAGTCCTTGTTTGTTCTTATAATTTCGGCTATACGAAGTATATGGTCGCCTCCGCGTCCAGTTTTAAGATAAACGTTTTAGTGCAATAAAATATTTTTCACTATAACTTTTTCATTTCTTAAGGTATCAACTTAAAACTTCAAATATATGTTCCTTATCATCAACCCAAAGGTTCACAACTCTAGTTCCAATATTTCAGATTTATCCCCTCTTAAACTTAGAATTTTTCTTAAAAAATATTTTTTTTACTGTTACTTCTTTATATATTAAGGAATAAACTTTATACTTCACATATATGTTCCTTATCATCAACCACATCTTATGTAACAAAGTTCATAACTCTAACACCAATATTTCAAGAATTATCTCACCATGAATTTAGATTTTTGTACTAAAAAAGTTTTTTTACTATAACTTCTTTAGTTTTAAAGGTATCTACTTCAAACTTCAAAATCATATTCCTTATCATCAGCTACATTTTATGTGACAAGGGTCATAACTCATAACAATATTTTTGAATTATTTCCCCTTAAACTGAACATTTTCTTTAAGAAATATTATAACTTCTTTACTTTTAAGGTATCTACTTCAAACTTCAAATATATATTTCTTATCATTACCCACATGTTGTGTGACAAGGTTCTTAACTCTAGCGTTACCATTTCCTGAATTATTCCCCTTGAACTTGGAATTTATATTAACAAATGGTATCTTTTACTTTAACTTCTTGTCATATGGATAAGAGTTACAAAACGCAAGCTCCTGTTTTCCCAGAATTATCTCCATTTCATTTTTGAACTTCGAATTCTATTGTAAATTGATTTTTTGCCTTTTTTCAAGAGCTACTTCCTCTTTGAACTTATAATTTTACTTCAAAAACTTCATTTTTTTGCTCTTTTTGTTTTTGGATTTTAGGGGTATATATCAGTATCTTAATGGTCTCAAAAATATAGAGGATTTTTTAAATCACTTCCATAGCTGTCCTTTTCCATGCCCCAATCGCCTTTTAACAATAAAAAATGAAATATTTTGCCGTCAGTTATATCTTATTTCAAATGAGACCGTGAGACATTTTTTTTTATTTAAGACCAGATCACCGTTTGCTTACATTACACTTTACACTGCACACATGGTATACATATAATCGGGAAAAAGACTTGGACATATCAACAACAACACCAACCGAAGTTGGTATAGCTCCATCTTAAAAAATGCGTTATGCAAACGCAATTCAAAGAAAAGTGTATTAAGGTATTTTGCCAGACCGACACTATAATGATCGAAAAATAAAGAATATATATTGCACAGATAGTTAGCATTCATAAAGACGGACAACTTTCCTTCATTTCCTTTATTTTTCTTTTATTAGCAACAATGAATGACACATTGAAGTATCTGGAGTAAAAAGGCGTATTTTCTTAGGGTATTAATTGTGAAAACAACATTCGAGAGCCCTTAACATAGAAATTAAAGTAACATGACTGTCTTATAAGGCGAAATGTCATTATTTATGACGGACGTTAAATGGCTTTAAAACTTCGCAGACGATTTTGTCGATGGAAAACTACAAACGACTTAAGCAGGTGATGTTTTTTTATTTTATTTTTTTATGTTTTAGAAATAATATACCCCTAACAGTGATTTTATCGCTCAATAAAATCACTGTTTGTAGTGTGGATGCGAAGAATTTTATCATACGCAACTATGGTGGCTGGATTATGCCATTTGTGTTTTCGTCCTGCGACCCCGTCAAGCGAAAACTCGAGAATTAACAAGTTAAAATGGCGGGGCGCGGAGCAAAAACACGCTAAGGGGGCAGGGGACCTAAAAATGAAAAATTTTGTATTTCAGTGTGACCAGAAACACAATTCCAAATATTTCAAAATATGTTTCACAGGCAGATAACCAGTTGCACAGCATTATTCAATGATATATGACAAACATTGAAAAAAATAATAGTTTGTATGCATTGCTCCTTCAAAAAATGACTGACAGCAATTTATATTTACCCCCACCCAGCCAAAATCACACCTAAAATATACCAATATGGGCAATCTTCACGAAGGTGCAGCATACTCCAGAATCCGCCCGATTCCTTTAAAAATATCAGTAACACGCAGTGCAAGCCATGGCATTTTCAGAAATGACAAATAAAGTGTCTGTCATACGTTTAGATTTTTCACAAAATTTATCTGAAATTTCTTACTTGTTTGGCGCCAACTGTCAAAGCTTGATTTTAAACTTTTTCACCTCCATTCGGAGAGTCAGAAATACATACAAAGCTACCAAAATGCTTAGTTTCGGGTAAAAACCCAAAAATATATCTCATTTACTACACACAAACAAGAAAGAATTACAATG